CAAAACCAAGCAGACCAGCCAGGAACATCCGCGCCAGACTAACCCGGCCAACTAACTACACTAACTAAACGAATCAGACAAAGCAGACCAGCCAGACCAAGCAGACCAATCAGAGCAGCCAGACCAGCCAGACCAGGTAGACCAATCAATAAGACCAGACCAGCCTGATTAACCGGTCGGGCCAGACAGACCAGACCAGACCAGCCGGACCAATCAGACCAGCCAGTCCAGACCAGCTAGACCAACCACACCAGCCAGACCAACCCGAACCAGACCAGCCAGACCAACCAGACCAGCCATCCAACCAACCAGACCAACAAGACCAGACCAGCCAGACTTACCAGACCAAACAGACGAACCAGACCAGCCAGACCAACCAGACCAGCCAGACTAAGCGAACCAGCCAGAACAGCCAGACCAACCAACCAGACCAGCTTGACCAGCCGATCTGGCCCGGCAGACCAGGTCAGACCAGACCAATACAGACCACCCGGACGAGATCCAACTGAGGATCAAACGCAGTAAGCTCAAACCGGACCAACCAGACCAGCCAGACCAGGTGCAACAAAGCTTGCAACGCAAAACAAAAAAAACAGTTTTTCGGTGGGACTGGTCGCTGCCTCCCCGGAACTCCTCAAACTATCTCGCCTGAGTCCTAAGCTAAAGCCTCATAACCAGGCTCAAAGCAGACCGAATAGACCAGCCAGACCAGATGCAATGACAACTGCAATGCAACACAAAAACTGCATTGCGAAAAAAACTGCAATGCAAAAAAAACGGTGGGAGTGGTTGGCGTTGCCTCCCTGGACCTCCCCTAAACCACTCTCGCATGAATACTAAGCTAAAGCCTCAGCACCAGGCTCAAACCAGACCAACCAGACCAGCCAGACCAGATGCAATAACAACTGCAATGCAACAAAAACTTCAATGCAATAGAACTGCAATGCAAAAAACTGCAATGCAAAACAACTGCTTTTCGCTGGGAGAAGTTTGCGCTGCCTCCCTGGACCTCCCCTAAACCACTCTCGCATGAGTCCTAAGCTAAAGCCTCAGCACCAGGCTCAAACCAGACCAACCAGACCAGCCAGACCAGATGCAATAACAACTGCAATGCAAGAACAACTGAAGTTCAAAAGAACTGCAATGCAAAAAAACTGCTTTTCGGTGGGAGTGGTTTGCGCTGCCTCCCTGGACCTCCCCTAAACCACTCTCGCATGAGTCCTAAGCTAAAGCCTCAGCACCACTCGAACCAGACCAACCAGACCAGCCAGACCAGATGCAATAACAGCTGCAATGCAAAACAAACTGAAATGCAAAAACATCTGCAATGCAAAAACAACTTTTTTTCCGGTGGGAGTGGGTGGCGCTGCCTCCCTGGACCTCCTGTAAACCACTCTCGCATGAATCCTAAGCTAAAGCCTCAGCACCACTCGAACCACACCAACCAGACCAGCCAGACCAGATGCAATAACAACTGCAATGCAAAACAAACTGAAATGCAAAAACATATGCAATGCAAAAACAACTTTTTTGTTCGGTGGGAGTGGGTGGCGCTGCCTCCCTGGACCTCCCCTAAACCACTCTCGCATGAATACTAAGCTAAAGCCTCAGCGCCAGGCTGAAACCAGACCAACCAGACCAGCCAGACCAGATGCAATAACAACTGCAATGCAACAAAAACTTCAATGCAACAAAAAAATGCAACGCAATAAAAACAACTGCAATGCAAAACAAACTGCTTTTCGGTGGGAGTGGTTGGCGTTTTTTCACTGGACCTCCCCTAAACCACTCTCGCATGAGTCCTAAGCTAAAGCCTCAGCACCAGGCTCAAACCAGACCAACCAGACCAGCCAGACCAGATGCAATAACAACTGCATTGCAAAAAAAAATCGCCTGGCGAAGGACCCAACCATATGCAGCTGCGAGCACCGCACGGATATGAGACGAAGGAGGGGGCACGCAAACTAGGCCCCTCTTCTCATAGGCACCGCGCCACTGGGGCCTTCGGTGGAGCTCCCTATGGGGCCACGAAACGTGTGAAGGGTGTGCCGAAATGGGTGGTGGGGAGGCATGCGGACCCTGCCACTGGGGCCTTCGGTGGAGCTCCCTATGGGGCCACGAAACGTGTGAGGGGTGTGCCGAAATGGGTGGTGGGGAGGCATGCGAACGCAGCCACTGGGGCCTTCGGTGGAGCTCCCTATGGGGCCACGAAACGTGTGAGGGGTGTGCCGAAATGGGTGGTGGGGAGCCACTGGGGCCTTCGGTGGAGCTCCCTATGGGGCCACGAAACGTATGAGGGGTGTGCCGAAATGGGTGGTGGGGACGCATGCGAACGCAACCACTGGGGCCCCTTCGGTGGAGCTCCCTATGGGGCCACGAAACGTGTGAGGGGTGGGCCGAAATGGGCGAGGGGCGGCATGCCAACTCTGCCACTGGGGCCTTCGGTGGAGCTCATTATGGGGCCACGAAACGTGTCAAGGGTGTGTCGACATGGGTGGCGCGGACGCATGCGAACCCTGCCACTGGGGCCGTCGGTGGAACTCCCAATGGGGCCACGAAACGTGTGAGGGGTGTGCAAAAGTGAGTGGGGGCGGCATGCGAACCCTGCCACGGGGGCCCTCGGTAGAGCACCCTATGGGGCCACGAAGTGCGCGAGGGGTGTGCCAAAGTGGGGGCGGCATGCAAACCCTGCCACTGGGGCCGTCGGTGGAGCTCCCTATGGGGCCACGAAGCGTGTGAGGGGTGTGCCAAAGTGAGATGGGGGCGGCATGCGAACTCTGCCACTGGGGCCTTCGGTGGAGCTCCCTATGAGGCCACGAAACGTGTGAGGGGTGTGCCAAAGTGGGGCGGGGGCGGCATGCGAACCCTGCCACTGGGGCCTTCGGTGGAGCTACCTATGGGGCCACGAAACGCGTGAGGGGTGTGCCAAAGTGAGGTGGGGGCGGCATGCGAACCCTGCCACTGGGGCCTTCGGTGGAGCTACCTATGGGGCCACGAAATGCGTGAGGGGTGTGCCAAAGTGGGGTGGGGGCGGCATGCGAACCCTGCCACTGGGGCCGTCGGTGGAGCTCCCTGTGGGGCCACGAAACGTGTGAGGGGTGTGCCAAAGTGAGGTGGGGGCGGCATGCGAACCCTGCCACTGGGGCCTTCGGTGGAGCTACCTATGGGGCCACGAAACGCGTGAGGGGTGTGCCAAAGTGGGGTGGGGGCGGCATGCGAACCCTGCCACTGGGGCCGTCGGTGGAGCTCCCTATGGGGCCACGAAACGTGTGAGGGGTGTGCCAAAGTGAGGTGGGGGCGGCATGCGAACCCTGCCACTGGGGCCTTCGGTGGAGCTACCTATGGGCCCACGAAACGTGTGAGGGGTGTGCCAAAGTGGGGTGGGGGCGGCATGCGAACCCTGCCACTGGGGCTTTCGGTGGAGCTACCTATGGGCCCACGAAACGTGTGAGGGGTGTGCCAAAGTGGGGTGGGGGCGGCATGCGAACCCTGCCACTGGGGCCTTCGGTGGAGCTTCTTATGGGGCCACGAAACGTGTGAGGGGTGTGCGGAAATGGGAACTAATGGCGATGGCGATGATGATGGTGATGATGATGATGATGATGATGATGACGATGATGCTGGCGGTGATGACGATGATGATGCTGGTGGTGATGATGACAGGATGGTTGGGCACTAATGGCGATGACAATGATGATGACGATGGTGATGCTGGTGGTGATGATGACGAGGATGATGATGATGATGAAGATGAGGATGATGATGATGATGACGATGAGTATGATGACGGCGATGGGAGGAGGGAGGAGGGGGGAGAGGAGGAGGAGGAGAGGCGAGGAGAGGAGAGGAGACGCGGGGCGCTGTCTCTTCAAAACGAGGACCCAACACCACAGGATGGTTGGGAAAAACTGCAATGCAAAAAAACTGCAATGCAAAACGCATTGCAATTTGGTGGGAGTGGTTGGCGCTGCCTCCCTGGACCTCCTGTAAACCACTCTCGCATGAATCCTAAGCTAAAGCCTCAGCACCAGGCTCAAACCAGACCAACCAGACCAGCCAGACCAGATGCAATAAAAACTAAACCAACCAGACCAGCCATGCCAGCTGCAACTCCGAACACATGCAACTCCGATCACCTTGTTCTTTGGAAGCTTGGCGTCCCGCCGTGCGCTACACGGTTAAGAACTTTATATATATATGTTTGTCAACTTGGAAAACTACAAATGCAAGACTCGTCCAACAAATGATGCTGTTTGTTTTCAGTGTTTGCGTGGGCGCTACTTCAATGCTGGCATGAGGTGCTCGGCCCATGCGCAGGGTATTCCGAAGTACGGCAGCACTGAAGAACGCGTTTCAAACAAGCACCATAACCATCGAGCCCTTCGATGTTCAACAGCGTTTCTACATACATATATATATACTATAGTGCACGAGGCTTGTAGGCTACAAAACGAAAATTGCATAGCGTATGTTGCACCACATATGTCGCTCACCATAACATGCACACCATAGATCGCATTCCATTTGTTGTTAAGATGCACTGTTTTTTGTTGCGCTAAGGCAAGGCGCGGTGCAGCAGCAGTAGTCTGGCTAATGGGGCAACGTCGGGCCTTCCCTCCGAGGAAATGCCACACAGCATCTAAGGCACGGAAAATCACGACGGGGGACCCGTGCGTTCAGCACGCGACTCCGGTGTCGCTGCCGCCGAGGGGAGCTGTTGAGGTAGACCTCGCGGCGTGCAGAGCATCGATTGCGTTCTCGTTGGCCTCCGAACGTCTGGTGAGACTTGGGGCTGCGCGCAGAGTGCCCGCCCAGGTAGTCCTAGCTGGCCTGGACAGGCCCCCCGATCGAGTAGACCGGGCCGGTCTCAACACCCCAGCCCCAGGGCGCGGAGCGCCCCGGGAGCGCCGCTGGAGGCAGCACTAAGGTGCTCCCCAGTATAGGTCCTCGGTGTCGCCAAGCTTCCCTGACATATCGAAGGGCTTGGCATCGTATCGACATCAACGTGCAGCAAAGACTGTTGACCTTGCAACCCAGACTGAACGGACTTCGAACCAGTCTTGTGGGGGGCCAGGGTGAATCACAACTCCAGCGACCATGTCATCTGCCCCGAGTTGCGCTGCGCTCGTTGTCTGTGAAGCAGTGTGCACGTGGATCTCAGGGCGCGCAGGAGTCACGATGCCCAGGCCGCGGCATGCACGACTGAACGCGCGGACGGATGACTCGTGAGCCAGCGCGCAAACCTTCCCTCCTGGAGACGTCTCGAGACGAAATGGCCCTTGAACCCAAGCGGCTGAAGATCTGGCACTGGCGCTCGCTTCCCCAGCAAAGGGTGCCGACTGCGCACTCCTCTTCCCGCGCGCCCTGCCGGAAGCCGGGCTCCGTGGGGGCAGTGGCGCCTGCTCGCCGTGCCGAGGGCTGGCGCAGCCGGGCTCCGCGCTGCGCTGCACCGCCCGAGCCCTGCCGAGCCGCCCGGCGCCGGCACCGCGGATCACAGGGCCAGGACGTCGTGGGCGCCCGCCCGGCCACCGTGCCCGCTCCCCGCGGAGCCGCCGGCGCTGCGACCGGGGCCGCCCTGGCCAGTGGCTCCATGGCCCCCCAGGGCCGAGGCGCTGCTCGCCGCTGCCCCCGGAGCGCCTGCTGTCGGCGCTCGCCCCCGATCGCCTGCTGCGGGCGCTCCGCCCGCGGCGGCCGTCGAGCGAGCGCGCCGACCGGCCAAAGGGCGCCAGGGAGCCGTCCGACTCGAGGGCGCCTGGCAGCACAGAGATGTCATTCGGCAGGGGCGCGTCGGCGTTCGTGGGGGTCCAGTGCCCCCCCTGGATCCACTTGGGCCTCTCGAGAACAATCTTCACCGCGCGCGACGTCTCGCCCGTGCCGGCGGGCCAATCCTCGCGACCTTGCGGGGCCATGACTAGCGTCACGTTGCTCTCGATGGCGAAGTGGAAACGATGATGATGCTCACTGAAACGGAAGCGTACTGATCCCACTTGCAGTGGCGCAGCTCCTCTCTGACTGACACTGTTATCTGACTGGTCGACGCATAAACGAACCCAATACTGAAAGTCTTCTCGCATTGCTGGCTGGATGCATCGCAGAAGACTCTGCTCAACCTTGCATATGTGTGCCAAAGAACTACCAGCAAGCATCTTCAAGGCAATCGTGCAGCAAAGCATTGTGAACTCTGGCGTCACAGCATCAAACCAAATGGCAAGCTCAGGTACAGCTGACGTCAGACCCGATCCGTCTTCGGAATTGCTGCGTTTTGTGCTCTGGTCCTCTTGCGATTGCAGCCTGCTTTGGACATCGATCGTCGGCGCAGCACTGGGCAATCCAGGCGAAACCAACTGGTCCCTCCTCGGCGAAACCGTGTCCACAAACTCCCCGAAGCCAAGCAGAAACCGTTCCTTATCACTGGTGCCGTTGAAACGCACGCAGAACGCCTCCACTGGCACCGAGATCCCACGGTTATCCTTCATGCTCACGTGAAAGGCCTTGCAACACTCATCATGTGCCGTACTGGAGGTTACATCTTGGGAGAACTACTTGCGGTCGGCCTCCGTGGCAAAGAAAGACGACATGCTCGCTTCACCCGCGAAGCGCTGGAGGGCTTAACATGAGCAGGTCCGCGAGCTTCGGGGAGGGCTGTGCTAGCCTCAACTCTGCATCAAATTCCACCACAGCGTCACATGTGCCTGCCAAGATCGACTTTGCGGCGCGCAGCTCGTTCCTTGATGAATCGCCCTCTATACGGACAGCAACCGCCTTGGAAAGAGCAGCGCTTACAATCAAAAGCCATATGCTAACAGTGAACCAACCGTACAGACAATCTTCCAGTGTATGAGGGTCGATGGCAGCACTGCCACTGGAATTCCCAACAAGAGAAGTCAGCGCGGCGGTCAAATAGGAAACAGTTGCAAATAGCAAGATTGCTGGAAGGTACACGTCCAATAAAGCTGAAGGCCACACAATCAT